TCTTTGATGTGCCAGCATGGTATTTCATCTAACAGACCTCCAATTATTAGTGGCAGCCTCACCTCTTCCTTTTTCCGTCATTCGTTATGTATTTTCTTTAACTCTTGGATTTTTCTATCCCTATTGTAATTCGATGAAATTTTACACGGGATTTTAATTTAACGGCAGCATGGTGTTTAGGAAAAAAGGCTGGTTACGTCACTAATTGAAGCCTTTTGCTTTTACCTTCCACGCAGTTGCGCAATGCAGAAGATGAGAGAAGTCATGATTATACTTTCTACGATCTTAGTCGACAGTCTGAATTTTATTGCTTGATTGTTTATAAACATGGCGTTCAGCTTCCTTTTTAGTTTTCATTGCTTTTTATTTCTGAGAAGTTTTTTTAATGGAGTGGTGTGCATACAACTTAGTTACAGTCCATTCTGATGTCAACATTGTCACCACAAATGATTGGCAGAATCAAAAAAATCAGTATTGTTTTAAACTGGAATGAAGACATATGCTGTCATTAAAGCCCTTCTTTGCTTTGTTGCGATAGTGTTTGCTTTATAGCAGTGAAAAATAGCTATGAGTCTCTTATCGGATAAGTTTAAACTACTTTATTTGTTTTTGTATGCATTATATAACAGTTTAGCTGCTTTGCGCTGATGTTGTCATCTAAAGAAAGTTTTATAGTTGTTGTGCTTATAGTAGTAAGTAGTCTGCAATAAATTGAAGTCATCTACATGCACATTTCATTGATTTATTTTATCTTGTTTTCAAATAATCATTCTTTGTAACCTCCAGAATATCCGATGAGGGCCATAGCAATCTTGTTCTAATGCGTAGATATTGCATTTGCACTTAAAAATTGTGTCTGAAAATTTGCTAGACATTGGAATCATCAGTCGTCTTAGGTAATGATATTACGATGCTTAATTTCTTTCGGAGAACCAAATAAGTTTTTTTTGTTTTATATAGCCTTAGTCCTGTTAGGAAAGTGTTTAATCGTGGTTAATCTTAAAACTGAAGAATTTTTCCTATTATTATGTAGCTGCTAATGCATGTTTTCTTACCAACGTGTCGAGCTAATCTGTATAATAGTAAATGAGCATTTATCAAGTATTTTTGATCTTTAAGAGTTACAACTATTATATATTGTACATGTCTAAGCAATAGCCTACAAGGTTGTAATATGTGCAGTAAATTTTATTTAAAACATTTCGTTCATTTTTAATCAATGCAAAATTGGCTTTGACAATAAGTTGTAATGGGTTCCAGCGACCAAGCTTATTTTGTCACTTGGTTCCCCTTTTGTTAAGCTGCAATAGAAATTTACTTGTCGAAGAACTGCTAATGCATGTTTTCTTACCAACGTGTCGAGCTAATCTGTATAATAGTAAATAAGCATTTATCAAGTATTTTTGATCTTTAAGAGTTACAACTATTATATATTGTACATGTCTAAGCAATAGCCTACAAGGTT